CCACCTGCGCTCCGGGCCCGCCCCCGCGGGCGTCCCTCAAGGTTAAGGCGGCTCCCTGGGGACTCGGACACCGCTCCGCCCGCGCCTGGATGTCTGGGGTGGTGGTGGTGGTGGTGGTGGTGGTGGTGGGGCAAGACTGGACTCCTGCGTTGTGACCGAAGTACTTTCCATCTCGGAGCTGCAGTTTCCTTACAACAATGGCGATGGCCCGGGGAGAGGTCAATGGGGAAAAAGGAGACAAATGTAATACTTTAAACAATAAAGAATTTTTTAAAAATGGTGATGATAAGACACACTTAGCGGATGTTCCGGTTAGAGGAGATAATGCAGGCGTAGGGCCATCATTTATTGCTGCCGTCGATAGAGTGCCTTATAGAGATGACTTATTTGTGATGATCAGTGAAGTGCCCTATAAATAAATACCAGCCAGTCCTAGTATTTATTAGTAGCAGGTAGCAGGTGCGCTGCCAAATCAGAATCCCATCTCTCCTTCCTGGTCCTGGGGGTTTTCAGCCTGGCCTCTCTTTGTTTCTCAGATTTGCTAGGCTCCCTTTTCCACCCCCGCCCAACCCCAGCCAAATTGCCAGGCTGTCACCTGAGGCAAGAGTTTCAAGGTAGAACAAAAGCGCCAGTGGTGGATAAGGGCAGGAGACTGCATTTCTAGTTGGCCCTCCTGGCCCAGTCAGCCCAAATTTAGGATGAGGTAGTGCCATATTATGACAACTGAAATCAAGCCCCTAAGATATCCTATATAATACAACCCTAATATGCTAAGTGTCCAGTTGTCTGGTCGGCAGTTCAACCAATCAAAGTGTAATATGCTAATGATATGCTAAGGCTGCTCAACTGCTTGCTATGACGTGCCCTGACCACCAGGGGGAAGATGCTTTGACTGGTAGACCAGTAGGTGAGCTTACTGCTGGGGCCTGGCCCATCGGGACTGAGCGAGATGGTCTGGACACGCCCTGGAGCCCTCCCATGGTCCCAAGATGCTTCGACTGGTGAGCTTACTGCTGGGGCCTGGCCTATCAGGACTGAGCGAGATGGTCTGGACACCCCTGGAGCCCTCCCATGGTCCCTCCCCCACTGGCCAACTCCCACTTCCTCCCTGCCCCCATCGTGCACCGGTGGAGTCCCTTGGCCTGGCCTATGCCCTCTGGCAATCTGGGACCCCTCAGGGGATGTCCTGCAGGCCAGGCCCAGAGACCCTGCTGGTGCACAAATCCGTGCACTGGGCCTCTAGTATATATAAATATATAAAATT